TTCTAGCATTCACAAAGCCTTGGGTTCAATCCCAGCACCTTCCACAAAATAACTCAATCAAACAAAACCAAGCAAACAAAAACCTCTTAATGACATTGCCGATTTGCATTGTCACTCAGTCCCCCCAGTAAATTAAAATTCTGTAGTCACAAAGGAGACACAGAGATCCGCCTAATTCACTTCACCCCAGTTTCTAGGTAGGATACCATTATCCAGAAAAGGTCTGCATTTTACTTTTTGTTAATATGCAGTTTTTTTGGTCCATGTGTCTGGGGGAAAGTAACAAACTGGACTATAATACAGAAAAGGATAGAAAGCAAGGAAAAGACAGTGTCCACATGAAAGAAACGCCATCCAGGAAACTGTCACTTCTTCTCTCCTGTAAGCGTGGGATCATGAGCCTCTCTCCTTCTCTTGCCTCCCAAATTCAGTTTTGTCCACTTACAAGAAATGGTTTCATGGTGGGGTTAACAGCTTACATTTCAAGGCCCTTGCACTGTGCCTCTTCCAAAGATAACATCCAATTCTATATTTGCAATGTGTACCCTTTTTCCTAAGAAGTCCTAAAAACTGTATGTGCTTCACGCCCTCCAAACACTGAGCGAGTGAGGGGGCTCATGGCTCTGGAAACCCACAACAGGAACCCACTTCCCCATCCAGCCATCAGGGGTCCCGTGTCCTTATACCTAAAAGAAAGGCCTAGCACGGCTGTCTTTAGTTTCTCATTCTTTTCTCCTTACTCCAATCCTTCCCCCAGCTGGGGGATGGAACCCAAGGCCTTCTCACTGAGCTACATTATTATCCTTTTCCAATTTTTAAAATTTTAAGACAGGATCTCATTAAGTGGCTAAGTTGCCCAAGCTGGGCTCAAATTTCTAATCTTCCTGCCTCAGACTCCCAGAGTGCTGGAATTACAGGCGTGTGCTAGTGTGTCTGGCTAGTGCATCCTTTTCTTACATACTATTAGAACAATATGTTATTGCCTAGCATACAGCTACTGGTCTCACTGTGCACAGGTTTTATTTTTCTCCTCAGTACTAGAGATAAACCTAAGACTTTGCATATGCTGTGCACATAGCTTTGTAAAGATGCTAAGAGTCCTGAAAAAAATAGCTAGTAAAACTGAGGTACTTCTTCACTATAGATTCGCTAAGGAGGACTCAGTAAAACTTTTTCAGTGACAAAGCCTGGAACCAAGGCTCCAAATGAGCCCCAGACCCCTGCCGTCTTGGTTCCCATCTGCCTCTCTTGCAGTACACTTTCTTATTCCCTGCTTTCTTAGCCACTTTCTTGTCACCGGGACCCAATACCTGACAGCCACAAGTTAAAGGGAGTCTCGTTTGGCTCACGTTTCCTGTCTGTGGTTGGCTGACTCCAGGGGTCTGGCGGAGGACAACTGCTCACATCATGGTGCTCAGGGAGCAGAGCAAGAGAGGGGAGAAGCCGAGCGGGAGACATGCCTTGTCAGCCACAGTGCCCGCACAAGTCAGTCACCTTCCAAAAGCCCTGCAAGAGGCCCCAGGGGACATTCTTGATCCAAATCATAATGCCTACTGCCCAGAACTTGACTGGACTCTTTCTGTTACGGTGCCCAGCTAAGTAAGTTGAACTGAGGAGAGGAGAAAAGAGAGAGACCAAGAAGGGGTTGAGCAAGCAGTCAGACAGGAGGATGAAGGGAAAGGGAGGTGATGTTGACCCCTGGGGCCCAGGCCCTCGCTCCTCCCTCACTCCAGTCTGTCTCTCCAGGTCACTGAGGTTGGGAGATGCCACCCTACGTCTTCCACTTGACTGGTTACACTGAGTCATGCATTGATTTGCTCATGACCTTCGATCAGTTCCACGTCCCCACCTTAATTTTACTATTGGCCAATATTTACTGAAGGGTTACAAAGAACCAAACACTACACTGAATGTGTACATGAATTATCTCCTTTACTCTTCATTCTCTAGGACGTCTCAATCAACGTAGCCATTTTATAGGTGAGGAAATGGAGGCTTACTGAGGCCCTTCATCCAAGGTCACCATGGGTTAGAACCAGTACTGGAGTCCACGCAGCACGCATACCCCGGACCACCACACTGTTAGCCTTCAAACCTTCAGTCTCTTCTCAGCCAGTCTATCGTGACTGACCACATGCACACATGCACACCCTGCATGTGCAGCTACACCGTCTGATCCTAAAACGATCGAACCAAACAAAGAATCGATTCACCTCTCTACCTGCTTCACTTTTCAGTCACTGTGACCAGAAGAAAATAGGTCAAGGCTGAGGTTTGGCGTGCCACTGCTAGCCAGCATTCCCATCGGGCTCTGCTTCACTTAATCCCACCCTGCAGCCCCAAAGCTCTTAGCAGAAACCCTAAGCTCTGGGACTAGAACAAGATTTAAGAAGATCTGCAGGAAACTTTTGAGGGTTACCCACTCCCACAGCTCAGCTTCCAGCCCCTGCCATTCTCCTTCCTCCAAAGTTCCCCTCCTGAAATCCCAGCTTACCATCTGGAGCAAGAGGCATTAGCAGAAAAGAGAAAAGCTTGGGCCTTGGCATCAACATGTCTGCTCTCTAAGTGCCTCAATCCTTCCCCCATCAAAGAAACAACCAATGCAGCCCGGAATGCTGCCGTGAGAAAATTCACTGAGGTAATACACAGCAAGCACTCGAAACACAGACAGTACCCACTAATGGCTAGCTACTATGTACCCAGGCTCTTTGTACTGAACTAGGCCCCAGTCCCTTTTTTTATTTTTTATTTTGAACCAGAGTCTTGCTAAGGCACCCAGGTTGTGCTTGAATTTGTAATCCTCCTGCCTCAGTCTCCCAGAGTTCTGGGACTATAGGCCTACACCACCACCCTTAGCCACTAGTATCACTGATTTTTTTACCGTCCCATCTAGGGTGTGCTTCCAAAATTTAACATGTGCTCCCCCACATCCTCCCCGTGCCTCTAGACTTCATGTGGATGGCAGCTTCCCAGTCCCTACCCAGGAGGTCAGCCCTGGTGAGTGTCTCCCGTTCAGACAGCCCTGGACCTAGAAGTGGGGACAGGACACGAGTGAGATGGACCCCTGAACTGCAGGTCACGCCTCGGGGGAAAGGACAGATACAGCGCATTTCCACATCACACTGTAAGGGAGGCAACCCCAGACGCTAGGGACGAAGAGGACCTGGGGAGACCCCAGAGGGCTCCGGGGGCGAAGGACCCAGAGTTGGAACTAGAGTCTGAAGGCCAGGCGCAGCCCCTTGAGGCTTTAAGCAGAGGAGGCAAGGGCATAGGCTCGCGCTTCAGGAAAAACTCTGAGTTAGGAAGGTGCCACTAAGCTGGGGAAATGATGGAGCCCACACAAGATGGTGTGAGGCTCAGGTGGGAAAGGGATGAGTTTTGCTGTGTTCAAAAGTGAGAACCAAGCCCATGACTCTGGTAGGTGGACATCTAGTCCCTTAGTGCTCAGGTACTGGGCAGAAGGTGACAGGGATGCTTTCATTCATTGTGTTTTAAAAATCAACGTTTTCTTGGGGTGCTTATGACGACTGAACTTGCACTTAGCTGTCTGTTGTTTATTACTTTGTCTCTCAATGAACATTCATCGGCCGCCGGGAGCTGCCTTAGATGCTGGGAGGGCTCCAATGACAAACCAGTTAAGTGAGACATATCAGCAAACATGAGCAGAAGACACAAGCCCCGGGAATAGAGAATGTGGTTTCCTGAAAAGCAGGGACAAAAAGGGAGGTAGGGGAAAATAATATGGGCTCCGGTGGTGAGCCAAGGGTACCACCAAACATTTCAGACGGGACAGACAGCAGAGGTCCTCTCAGGACAGCTCCACTTGTCTTCCTCTGACCTCCTTTTAGAATTCCTGGGCCTCACATTTTCTATTTTCTGTCTGGGCTTCTTTTTCACGTCTAACATTATTAAGGAATACTCCACAAGTTCGTGTCCAGAGCACACTCACATACCCAGAGAAAGGTCACAAGGAGTGTGAGAGAGACCGAGCAAACCAGACGTAGACAGAAGGCTTGCAAGAGGGTCCCCAACATGTAAGGACAGGGCCCAGGCCTTTCGCCAGGAGTAGACAGCTCAGGAAAGATCAAGGAGGCATCTGTCAGGAGCAGTCCCAAGCCTGCTGAGAGCACCAGTGTCTGGGGACCCAGATGAGGGTGCAGGGGCACATCCACAGGAAGGGGAGCCGCGCTGTTTCGAGCACTTACTGGCTGCCAGCCAGCGTGCTGCATTTTCAGGGGGGCCTGTGCACACTGAAAAGGGGTTACTGGGCCGAGGATTTAGCTCCAAGGCACAAGCACTTGCCTAGTAAGTGCTAGGTTGTGAGTTCGATCCCTGCTACAAAAAAGTGGGAGTTTACCAGCCTGTGTGTCCCCCATCTTCCCCTGCCCTCTGGCTCAGGACCCTCGTGGGTTTGTCCGCTCTGCTGAGGCCTTGTGCTGTTCCCTGTCTCCCACATGCTGTTGTCTCCCTTCCCCACGAAGCAGGACGGAAGTCCAGAGGCCGCAAGCCGAGGGACCCTGGGCTCCCGTAGCTTCCTGTAAAATCCCTAAGGATGGTTTCTTTGCCTCCACTTGTGAGGAGAGCCACTACAGTTATAATCAAGAGGGCAGAAAAAGAAAGTACAAAAGCTCAGCGGACATCGAGGAATCCAGAACCCCAGGGGACCTCATAGGGGATTTTCAGAAACCAATTCACCTTTTGCACTGGTCGAGCCAGTGAATGGGTTCGTAGTATCCGAGCCCTCACCCTGTTCGTGAAAGACCTCCCTGGACAATGTTTTGTTTTGTTTTGTTTTCCCCAAGATTCAAAATCCCTAACAGAGGAACACCAAAGAGGACCCTCTGTGCAGAGACGGTCACCGTAGAGTGTCATCTCCTGATGTTCTCACAATTACACTGATGCCAAAATACACTTCAGAGACAAGTCTCGCACAACAGGCTCTGTCCGGCTCAGCTAACTCAGCCTGGGCAGCCTCAACCAAGCCCAGGCGCAGCGCCTACCTGCTGGGTCACCTCGTGGAACAGCTCCCGCGCCGGGGACAGCTGGGTCATCCTCCCGGAGATGAGCCCCTCTGGAAGGTAAACGCATCCTTGATCAGGCACCCTCCCTCGCCCATCCTTGCCCATCCGGCTTTGGGGCCTGTGGTACCAGACTGCGCTCGCTGTCCCAAAGCCACCTGCGGTTCGCTCTGTCCTTCAGTGCATGGGGGTCACGCCCTGCACTCCTCCCCATCCCCGCGTGCCTTGGGGCTCCGGTCCAGCGCAAGGCCACCAGAGGCTTCCTTGAGGCCAGCCCGGGCCGAGGCGCACAGACTGGGCCCTGAGCCGTGCAGGAGGACAGACGGCAGCCGGGGAGTGGGTGGCCGCGGGCTCCCAGTGGGCAGCGGGGGGGGGGGCGCAGGTGGGGGGCTGCCGAGGGGAACGACCCCGCCCCGCCCACCGCGCCCTGGGCCGCGCGCCCTCACCTGCTCTGCAGGGGAGCTCCCGCCGCACCTCTGTCCCCGCCCCGCAGCCACGTGGCTGACACCCAGCGCCGGCCGGCCTGCAGGTGCACAGGTGGGGGGGGGTCTCCTTGGGTGCCGCCCCGGGACCTCCCGACTTGGACCGCGCGGGTGTGGGTGGGGTTAGGGGTGAGGACCGGATTTAATGTCACCAGCCTGCTCTGCTCTGGGGGTGGCGGTGGGCGGAGCTGCCCCTGCGGTTGGGTGTCCTGCAGCGCTGCCCAGAGCATAAGGCTGCAGCTCCTGGACAGGACAGACGCACCTGGATAGGAGTCTGAGGCCCTGCGACCCGGTCTCAGGGTGCACAGGCTGCCGTCCAGGTGACACATTCCTAGGCTGTGGAACCTCTGCCTCAGGAAAGTGCAGGGCCGGAGGGCTGCCCTGGCCTCCTTCTGCCAAAGCCAGAACCACCTTTCCTGGGACGAAGTGAGGTTTCCAGGGCTTCAGGTGGCAGAAAAGCCAAAGGCGCATACAGAGAGATTCCTTGAGCTCCATCTCCAACCTGGCGGCTTCCCAGCCCTTAAATAACTCTCGAGGCTTCCTAGGAACGGGAAGGGGTGGGGTGTGCAGCGGGGAGCGCCTGCCACACCCTCAGCTCTTATATGGAACCCCTAAAAATAGAGGCTGTTATTTTGAAAACAAAAGAGAAGGCAAAGCCAAGGAGCGCTGACAGCCCTAAACCTCTGTTCTGCACCTCCAAATCTGAGTGTGTGTGTGTGTGTGTGTGTGTGTGTGTGTGTGTGTGTGAAGGTACATGTTATACACGTTTGCCAATTTAACCACTTTAGAGTGTACAGTTCTACAGCATCAGTCACGGTCACAATGGTATGCAACCACGCCGTCTCCTTCCAAACTATTTCCATCATCCCAAACAGAAATTCTGCACTCACCAAGCAGTAACTCCTCATCTCCCCTGCCTCCAGCCCACGGTGACCTCTAACCTGCTTCCAGTCTCTGAATTTGCATATGTGAATCTTTCATAAAACAGGGACCAGACAGTGTGTCCCTTTTGTGTGACTGCCGTACTTAGTTCAGTGTCCTTGAGGTTCATTTGTGCTGTCGCATAATTCAGAACCTCACTCCCGGCATTCATATTTTTTTATCCATATGAACAATAGCATCATCTTTCTTTCTTTTGGGTCCCATATGACACTTTTTTTTTTTTTTTTTGCCTTAATGTGGTTTCTTGTTCGCTGTCGCTTTCTGATGGGTCTCCCCCAAGACTCAGTGTGAACTGTGAAGGATCCACATTGAATCCTATCTCAGCCTGAGTGAAAAACATTAGAAAGCCAACCCACACATCTTTATAACTACCTTCCTGCCACCCCTCATCATTTTCTAAATAAATGAGACAGTCTCTCAAGGCTTATGGCACCTTCCATACCTTTGAACAAATGTATCTGTCTCCTTCATGTTAGAGCTAAGTAGAAAAACATACTTTTTGTCACTTACAAAGGAAAAAGTGCTGCTTAATGTAGATTTATTTTATGATGATGATACTAACTTTAAAAAAACCTCTACACTTGTGTTTAAAAAATAGTATCTTGCATATCCTCAGAATAGAACATTTCCATCTTCATGATCTACTAGAAAGATACTCATCGCAGCACTGATTTGTAGTAGTTGAAGAAAATCAGAATAACCTAAAACTCTACCAGCCGAACACTGATTAATGCTATGGTACAGCCAGATGAGGGCAGCTGGCGTTAGAAAGGTGGTTCCATTTGTTCTAACATGGAACTCTGTTCACATGTGATTTAACAAAACAGCAAGCTGCAGAATAATGCATAAGGTATGTTATTGACATATTTACTTATGCTAAGATGTATATAGAAAAATACATGTTAATATGGTCATAGTGTTTCTCTCTAGAGATGAAATCTAGGTAGTGAAGTGCAAGAAGAAACCCACTCTGGTTCTTACAATAATCTCACATAAGAAACTTAAAAAGAAAACTAATAGAGATCAGATTGCATGTTTAAAAATGCTGCACTGATCTGTCCTAGCCCTTATTCTCTTCTTATAATATGGAGCTGGGGTTCCTGGACAGGAATGGGGTCTGTATTTGCTCTCATTGAGTTTGAGTGGACATTTGTGATCGCCTACTGAGAATTAAAAGCAACACTGCTTGGCTTCATAGCCTACATAGTCCACTCATCTTCCTCTTCTTGTGATTAAACCACCATTTGATGAGGAATCCCAGGCCACAAAAGAGTCCACTTGTGTGTGTGTGTTCCCAACAACAGGCAGCATCGTGGCCAGATCCATGAGTGACACAGGCCTTCGGGTGGTCCTAGCTCCCACAGAGATCCTGGGTGTGGCCACCAGTACTCGCTAGGCTCTGACTGAATGAATGCCTGATGCACAGGAACCATGAGAGAGAACAAATGACTGTTGATTTCTTGGCCACTAAGTTCGGGGCAATCTGTCATGCAGCAATAGACAGCAAGTACATGACACAGCCAAACAGGGCAAAAGTGTCTTGTTTTCTTTTAAAGTACTCTTACTCATTTCAGTATCTAAATTCCCTGTAATTTTAGTCCTGCTGTGTAACAAATGTTACTAAATTCGCCTATTTTTTTCCTATTCAGTAACAACTCAAGCCAAGTTTGAAGCACACAATAGCAAGGCCATTGGACTCGGCAGTTGTGGACAGGCGTCCCTCGTCTCTGTGTGAAGGTTGGAGGAGAAACCACGTCTTGAAATCATTTGTCCCAAAACCTGAACCCTGGAAAGGGATTTGAGCTGGGACAGAGTCAAGCAGAAAGGAGACCTGGACACTGGAAACAGCAAATCAGGATGTAAGTGTGCACTTAGGAAAACACATCTTTGTCTGCTGGGTGCTGTGCTTTGCACTAGGGCTGAAATTTAGCCCTAAGAGATGCTGGCTTCCTTACTTCATTGGTCTGGGCTGAGGCCTGGGCACCAGCATTCTCCTTAAGTCCTTTCAGTGCTTCTACAGTGCAGCAACATCGAGCATTATGGAATTCCCAGCCCGATAGTTCCCTGCTCTCCAAAACATCTGAGAGCTAGAACACATCTTGTTGGCAGCAGTGAATTTCCTCTGCAACTCCCCCCCCCCCTTACCAGGGATTGAATTCATGACCATGTGCTTGCAAGGCAGGCGCTTATGCGCTGAGCTAAACTCCCAGCCCCTCCTCTGCAACTTTTAATGGGAAGGAAGAGTGTGAAGTCTGCCCCTGAGAGATGACAAATATTTAGTTTGTCACTCTGCTATCCCTGTTTTAAAACTCACAGGAATTCTGCACACACTGAAAAGTTTGCTGGCCATGAAAGTGAAGCCAGGATTTGATCTTCAGCTTGATTCTAATAGCAGACTGTCACCTCCACAACGGTGCCGCCTTTTTAACCCAAAGGAAAAGATAAGACTGGAAGAGGTTTTTAAAAAAGAAGAGAAAACAAAGCTGAAACAGGTTCTCCTTAAATTTTGGCCTGCACTCAGAGAATCCCAGGCTCAAAGATGCAAAGCTGTGGGGGAATTACTGACATACACCATGACAGTATCCTTTTTTTTTTTTTTTTTTTGCTTTTTATCAGTACTAGGGATCGAACTCACAACTGCCTGCTAACAAGGCAGGCGCTTATGCCACTGAGCTAAATCCCTAGCCCCGACAATATTCTTGAAGAGATTAGAGCCTTTAAATGAGACCAGTAGGGGACTTCCAGGAGAATATGGCAGATAGATAACAGCAGCTATGCAGGCTCTCTGAGTTAGCCAGCTTAGAATCCAGGAATGATGTGGTGTGAGGAATCCTGAGCAAGGGGAGATATACCCTGCTGACCCAGGAACGAACTAAGCTGAGAGAAACCAACTGGAAATGCAATCCCGGTGCTATAGCCGGAACAGATAAAAATCTCAGCACTGAAGCTGGAACCTGCACCTCTGGAAACCATGATTTGAATTTTCTGCCACCGCTGCTGCATCTGAATTGGCACAGCAGGGATAGAGATGCAAAAGCTCTGAGAGCAGGAATCAGCGAATGGAGTTGAGAGCGGGACTGGTGGGGAGCCCTGCATCAACCTGTGGTGAGTGAGAGGAATGGGGACCCTTCCATAGACTAGGAGGCTCCAACAGAGGACATTCTGGGACCGGGTAGACTAGCTGGAATAGGACGCTGCAGTGACTTCAGTTGCATATTCCCCTCTCAAGCGGGATTGGTGGGGAGTGCTTGGCCTGGGTGATGTCACGGCCTAAGACCCAGTAGGTTAGACCAAACCAGGTCCCAGCACCTGGCAGTGCACCCTAGCAGTGAAGCCTTCAGTAGGTTGACCTGGAGGGGTGGGCACAGCAGAGGGGCCCAGGTCTGTGTCTCCCTAGTACACTGCAGTGGGCGGGAACACCTAGCCAGCATGACTCAAACAAACTGTAACCCACAAAGAAAGAAACTGGGCCTCCTGGATACGCCTGTATGGAAGGAACAAAAAATATGGGAAGAGGGAGCAACAAGAAAGGGTCCTCAGTCCCCAATCCTGAGAACACAGATTCAGGAAAGGTAAATGCAAAGGAGAATGAGGACAGAAAACATGCAATATCAGACACAGCACCAATAGACATAAAGCAATATCTCCAGAGCCTCATAGACGAGTTCAAAAGTGAAGTATTTAACAAAGTAAAGCAAGATATAAGTAGAACAGTTAGAGAAATGCTAAGCACCATCCAAGATAAAACAGATGGTGGAATGGAAGAACAGAAAAAAAGGGGAGAATTGTTTGATGGAAAAAATAGAGAAAACAAAATACATGAAGCAGGTTCAAAGAGATTACCAGGAAACTAAAAACTCTATTGAAAGCTGGCATAAGGATAGATTATCTGAACTGGAAGACAGATTTGTAATGTGGGAGCATGAAATGAAAAACTTCTTAAAAATAACAAGGAAACAAACAGCAATAATACAAAGGCTAGAAGATGGTAAGAGGATCTATAACTTAAGAATTGAGAACATAAAAGAAGTAGGGACACAAACAAATGAACTACAAAAGCTACTCACAGAAATAATCCAAGAGAATTTCCCTAATTTAGTGAAAGGTAAAGATACTCAGATGTATGAGGCATACAGGACCCCAGTCACCTACAGCCTAAACAGAACTACACCCAGGTATATAATAATCAAAATTCCAGAAATCCAATATAAAAACAGAATATTAAAAGCCATCAGAGACAAGAAACAGATCACTTACAAGGGAACACCCATCAGAATTACAGCAGACTTCTCAGCACAAACCATCAAATCACGAAGAGTGTGGGGAGAAATAATTCAAGCTTTGAAAGATAATAACCTCTAGCCAAGATTGATATATCATGCACAACTGTCCCTAGAAATTGATGGAAAAATAAGGTGCTTCCAGGATAAAGAGGAACTAGGGGAATTTGCAACCTCCAATTCAACTCTACAGAAAATACTGCAGGACATTCTAAAAAACAAAAATACCAAGATTCCAGAAATAGTGGCAGAGAGGCCA